CCAGACTAAGAAGAAGTGTGGTATTCTTGTTATGTGCATGAAATTTGGATCCAGATTACCTGGATTCAACTCTTGGCCTTCCCACCTATTAGGCATGTAGGCATGGGACTTTGATTCTTTGCCTCAGTGATTTGTAATATGGGAATAATCATTGTAGCATATCATCATGATAATTAATAATGGTATGTTTATGTTGATAATAATAATATATAATGAATAGGATTTGAAATTCTTTCTATTATTGTCCCACATAATACTTGGAACAGTGTCTCCAAACTGAAAAAAACAAACTTACTGCCATCGAGTGGTTTTTGGCTCATAATGACCTCTCCATGGGTTTCCAAGGTGATATCTCTACGGAACTAGTGCCCAATCTTCCTTCCGAGGAGTAGCTGGTGCGTTTGCACTGCTAGCAACAGTATTTGGCACATAGTAAATAATATAAATGTCATTATTTCTTTTGACCACAAGGATCTCTCTTCTCTACTGAAAGTACTCATAATCTCTAACACTGTAATGGATGTTGCCTTGTGAAATTTCTTATTAACTTTTTATGGTGTATAACACATATGTTAAATTGTTGTACTGGGACAGATTTACTTTTTTCCATTTTCCATTGTACCTAGCATAATACTAGCCATACATTCAATAGATATTTACAAATTATATACGAAAGTAATTTGAATGTCAGAGAATTTCTAGGGCTTCTTTCATTTCCATGAAAATGATGCTGATTATTCAGCAAGTGATACATTATCTTGTTTTGAAATGTTTTAAATATCCAAAGTAACAAAGATTATGTCTCTCTTTAGAGCAGCCACTTTGGGATCAGTTTTTGTGACAAACAACATGTCCTTTAGGCATTCAGATTCCAAAGGTATTAATGTTGCTTTTTTTTTTTTTTTTTTGCCATTTTCTACATTTCTCAAGCTGAAAGAGCTAAAGAAAAGAAGGATTATATAGGCAAATTTGTCTCTTAGACAAAGTTAAGTCAGATTTAAAGAGTGAAA